ATATATCTATTATTATTATTTGGGATATATTATATACAATATATATCAAAAAGGGATAAAAATTAAAGAAATTAATAAAATTGTTCTTCTGATTAGTGGTGAAGTATAAAGTAATACCTCCTGCTTGGGGCAAACTCATGAAAAAGATCACACCTGGTCAGAGAGTATTAAATTCTAAATAACATTCCTTCAAAATTGCAGCATCCTGTGAAACTTAAATCGCAAGGCCTTTTCAATTCACTAGATTAGTAATACACGAGTTTAAGAAAAATAGGGCTTTCTTTTTACCTGTAAAACACACATGTACTGAGGTAATTAAACCTTATTAAAGTGCTTCTTGTATGCCATGTCTTTAATTTTGAGAAAAATTATCTAAATTTAATTGAAGTAAATTTTTACTTTAACTTTGGAACACATTTCCTTTTTTAAAAGTTTATCACAGGATTACTATGGAAGTTCTATTATCATGATTATATCAAATTCTTGGTGTAACAAAACAAAGGTGTCATTTTTTAAATTTATTAAGTTGCTTTATATACTATTTTATATATATTTTAATAAAAAAAATGTTCACTGCATTATTAACTAAACTCAACTGACACCATAAATCTATACGAGTCTTAAGTTAATGGTGAAAATTGTCCAGTAACCATAAAATATATCTAAAACATTCAAAAATTTTTGAATAACATTGAAAATATTAGTCACAATTCAGTTTTGAGATTATTTGATCAGCTTGTTTTATTTTTATTTCAAAGGTGATATATATGTATGTATATAAGTGTTGATGAATATGGTGATGAAGTTATATTATGTTTATAGTGAAATTTTGGTTTCAATGCTACTGTGGATTCATTTATTTTCGTTGGTACCAATTTTCGTGGATTAAGGAAAACTTGCATGTTCGTGGATATTTAATTTCGTGGTTTTGCCGAAAGTCTGCCAACAAGCCTATACAAAATATGTAATTCGTTGAACATTTAATTTCGTGTTTCACTTGTACCCACGAAATCCACGAAAATTGGTATCCAACGAATAATAATGAATCCACAGTATATTGAATACATTTTTAATTTCAAATTGTTGTTCAAATGTCTAGCCAGGGGAAATAGCTGTTGTTAAAAACAGTTCCTAAATTGATGAAATACAATAGATAGATACAAAAAATAGGTCTAGGTTGGTTAAGACTTGGTCGAGTATGAATCAGACTAGGTCGAGTATGGTTCAGACTAGGTCGAGTATGGTTCAGACTAGGTCGAGCATGGTTCAGACTAGGTCGAGCATGGTTCAGACGCGTATAAAATGGTTAAGTACTGGTCGAGTAAGGGTCGAGTACAAGTTCAGACTGTTAAGTATGGTTCAGACTACAGTCGAGTATTATCAAGTAAATTTCAGACCAATTCAGACTGGTCGAGGAAAAATCAGTACAGTCGAGTACAGATATTTGCCATTTCAGACTTTTACTTGTTTGTAGTGTAGTTTTCTCTCTTTTGTCTGGCAAAACTGTTTTTTTTTTCTCAACAACTGAGAATCTTTAGAGAATATAACTACAACGTGGCTGTTCACGTAAAGAAAATGAGAATATTTGGTAATTTAAAAGTGTAAAAGAAAAAGTATATATCAATGAAGAAAATCCCGAACTGGCAGACAGTAAGCACAAACTTGTAATGTACGGATACAACGAAAACGGATGTTCGTAGGTCATAGTGGTGGACATAGTACAATTTCGATTACGATGTCGATCAACACGATTGTATATTTTAGTTTTTTGTTATATTCTTACACATCAATTAATGTGATACAATTTGCCATTTTTAAAAAGTGGTTTGAAAAGTGCATTATCAATGATCTCAGAACATGTCCCTATATTGTAGCCACAAATTAACAAAACTTTAGATTATTTGTTTCAAAACTTAAACTCTGCGTTAACGAATTGTTTGGGGATATTTCAGGATTGTTTCTGTCTAAAACCTTTAAAGACTATTAAAAATAAAAAATAGTACAGTAAAAGCCAAATTGCCAACAAAACACGATTACTATCAAATGCTTTAAATGTTTTAACAAACTACAGTTTGCATGTTTAAGATCGGTAAGTCATTAGTGTATGCCTTGTTGCATATTTCATCAAAACTTGGTATCGTCCGGGTGGTTTCTTCAATATAAAGACCTATCGTTCTGAAAAGAAATAACTCAATATAAGTAAGTTAGGTATACATTTTATGTACGAGGAAATCACCTTCAACTACAGCTAAAGTCAACAGAACTCACAAAATGAAAACAACACTTCATGATTAGGTACATTCGAAGCGCTATTCGAAATAAACCTTCAAAAGGAACGCTCAAATAAAAAAAAAATGACACACAAAGATGTATAAATGCTGGAATACTTTTGGAGCTATATGATCAGAATTGACAAAAAAAGTTTATATGTAGAAAATTAAGTAAATTAGTGCTTTGCGTGCTTTTGTGTTTCGTGTAGACTAATAGACCTTTTAAATTTGGCAGAGAGTTAACCGAAAACAAATTATCAAGCTTAAAACCCGATACGTTCACTTATCTTGGATCATTGGTTGTTTTGTAAGTATTTTATTTTTTAATGTAAACTGTTTAATTGAAAATCATTATAACGTAACAGACAAGTTGTAATTCATTGTGGATAATGTGTTTTGTGTTAAACAAGAACACGAGCGCGTCATAAAGAAATACATTTAATTTTTGCCACAATGTTGTGTATATCATGTATTTTTTTTAATGTAATAAAAAGTGTGGGTCAGAGGGTTTTTTTCAAGCTACAAGTTGTGCAAACTTGTCAGATTTTTTATAGATTGTTAATGGAAAACCCAATTTTGTGTGACAAAAGAAACTAAAAGATGGAAATTTTTGATAAAATATGAGAAGTAAAGAAAAAACGGGGTCACGGGACTTGTTTTCACTAGTAAATGAATTTAAGTCTTGAACGCTCATTGATCTTCACACCATTTGGAAAATCTGAACAATAAATTCATGCAATAACTCAATGATGTTTTGTCTTTCTGTAAATTTTCAGACTTTTGCACTGCGTAAAATACAGTACTCTACAGTCAATTCACTAGCTGTCAATTCAGTAGAGCGTTCGATGTACCTTTCTGGATTAACCTTTACCAGGAATGCTCAAATCTAATCCCTTGAAAGCTACGAAAGTGTAACTAGTTCAATTTCAAGTTCAAATTCTGTATTGTAAACTCTCAAACACATATAGTGTTACAAGAGGAATTCAGTACATATATTCAAATGGAAATGGCAGCTAAAATATACAAATTTGTATTATTAAATTATGAGCAGATGTTTTATCTGAACAGTACAGCTACTTACAATATTTTTTCTAAATTCCTCAAAAATATAGCTATATTCTTTAAGACCTTAATATTACATAATGAGAATAGTCCAGATAATTTAAATATACAGATGAATAACGTGTATATTATGTTGGAATGCATTGAGTTCTAAGAGACGTTCCTTTGATATGGTTACATACAAACACGTAGTGGTCTTCATTACCTATTTCATTCAAGTTACACAAATGACAAGTCATGTGTTTCATGGATGTACCAACCCATCTACCTGTTTCGACAGGAAATTTAACATTTGAGCATCTTAGTTTACATATAGAAAAACGATCAACTTTATTTAGTTTGTATTAATTTAGCAGCTGGAAACCTTTATCATCAATTGACCGGAAAGTACCCAGACAAAACAAATAATACAAGATGGTCTAGAGTTATACATTCTAGTTGCTCAAGTTGTGTATCTTTTGATTTTCTTTACAGTTTTCCTTTTATTTGTCTTGGTGTTATTATGTTCCTTTTGGTCGCATGACTCCTGACGTGACTCGGTATTATATATCTGACTATTGCGTTTGTGGCTTTTGGAGCTCCTTGTGCAGGTGGGTGCAGAGGAGGTAAACAAAGTATAACAAAATTCCAAACTCAAAGACAAATTCAAATAGGGGAATTCCCTAAAAACTAACAAAGTCAAACTCTATCAATCAACGGAACAAGTGAAACACAATTATATGACGAGAGTTTCACTCTTCCAATAGCCATACTCATCATACCATGTCATGTGAAAATCCATATTAGTCATCCTGTAAAATATATCATATTCCAGTATTGTTCTTTATATACTGATCACTCCCATTTTGTGTTTAGATAAATGCAGCGAATATGATAATGAAACGGTACTTATTGTTTATATAGAGACAGGGGGATTGAAAACAACTGTGCTTTATCTAACACAGTCATTTATAAGCATCATTTGTTGTGATGATTTATTTAAAAGTATGATATATCAAAAATTATCAACTATTGACTTGTTCTCGCTGATGTATGTCAACGACTTTTTGAAAAACAGCATATGATTAAAAGACCATTGCATATCAAATTAATTTCCTTTATTGCATGTCCTGCTTTTATTTAAATGTTGGCAATATTTGCAATCCAGGTCGTTATTCGATAACATGTTGACAACGGTATCAGCTAATATATTTGCGAAAGTATCAAGGTTTCAAATTTTGTGAGTATTATTGGCATATCTTAAAACGCTACTTTTTTTTTTATCTTCATATATACTTAGAGCTCATGATTCAATACCGCATAATTTGAATGAAAATTACCATTCTTAGTTGAAAGAAGTTTTACTTTTAGTAGTTAACTTATTCATGTTATATGTCAAATTTTCCCCAAATATATTTATTTTTAATGATTACAAATTGATTTTACTATATTTTCATTTAAAATCTTATGATAGTACATTAATTTTCTGTCTTTAACCGCGTGTTTTTACACGTTGTGTTATTAAAAATGATTTCATTGAATAACTGTAAATTTACAAAAGGAAGTATATATACGTTAAGGTGTATTTAAATGGTACTTGCAGGGCAATGGGCAGAAATCCACTGATATGCTGTTCCATGACTGATTGGTTTCAATGGGCTGCCAATCAAATCATAGCCGACTTCTTTACCGGCACTTGCACTGAAAATAGTACTAAAATACAAGATTTTGATGTATCAAAGTGTCCAGGTTAGTATTTCTTAGTTTTATTTAAAGAGTAAACCAACCATAGATGTGCCAGAAGGGAAGGGCACACAATCGTCATTAAAATATACATTATATGAATTATAGTTTATAATTGACTTCTATAACTTGTTCGTAATAAACTAAATGATGATATAAAACAATCACAATTGGAAATGATGAAAAAGTGGCTGTAGCATTGAATTACAGTTATTTTTATTTATACAAAAGAAAAGCAAGCATCCATATCACAATGCAGGAACGGAAGCGTTTATCACTTAAAAGATGATGGTCATTTGCTTTCATTACGTATAAATTTTCCAAAACACATCATTTAATTCTTATGTATGCAGATTTCACAATACACAAAGATATTCACATGTTGAATCAGTGAGTAATACTTTAAACACAAAAGTACGGCAGCAATTGTCTAGTGCGATGAAAACAGTACCACACAATGTGAAATTGGTTATATTTGTTTCCAAATTTTCAAGAACAAAGTGCATATCAAGGTGGAGAGAAAGCGTAGTGGTTTGAACTATTTTCTATCTTTTTCTGTTCTTAATATCATACCCAACCATTACACTTTTGCATCTTATGAGTTAAAACCTATTCATAGATTACAAGCACTGACATTTGTGACATGAAATTTAAGACATAACTTTCTAAGAAAAGTTCCCTTTGAAACATGAAGATAATCAAATTAAGAATTGTAAAGAAACGTTTTTTTTATGAATCATTATAGAATTAAGAGATAATTTAGAAGAAACTTTTGTTTATATTTAAAAGTTGATGGCGGATGGAGCTCCTGGTCGAACTCAACATGTTCCGTCACATGTGGAAACGGAACTCTGTCCAGAAATCGAACTTGTGACAGTCCACTACCTTCCAGGGGCGGAAAAAATTGTAATGGGTCGAGTGTGGATTCATCAGATTGCAGCTTAAGTGATTGTCCAGGTATTTGTATTTACAGGATTCAAAATAAAACCCATGTCTGTTTAAAGAAATCATGTATCCAATTTATTGGTAAGGCAGGGAGATTAAAAAAACAAATATACAAAATGTTTAAAAATAAAAGAACTTCGATCTAAACCTGCTAAAATATTCATGAATCTGACCAATAAACGGTGATGGAACGGACTGTTTCTAGTTCAGAATCATAGCAAAAAGTAAAATTACAAAAAAACCGAACTCCAAGGAAAATTCAAAACTAAAAGTCCCTTATCGAATGGCAAAAACAAAAGCTCTAACACATTGAACGAATGGAAAACAACTGTCATATTCCTGAAATGGTACCGGCATTTCCTTTTGTAAAAAATGGTGGATTAAACCTGGTTTTATAGCTACATGTAAATTAACCTCTAACTTGTATGACCTTCGCATAAAATTCCAATATATTAACAACAAATGTTGGTTTGAGCATTCCTGGTGAAGGTTGAACCAGAAAAGCGTTCTGATGAAATTTTTATTTTGAAGAAAAAAAGTTCCAGTTTGAAAATAAAAACTGATGTTAAAAGGTGACAACTATTTAGGAGATAATTGCATTGGTTTTTTTTTAGTTAACCTTAGTAAAACGTTTGTTTTACTGTTGCAATTTAAGTTTACCTAGCGACACGTTATGAAGATATGTAGAGTGATAACAGTAAAATAAATTGTACGTAATACAAGCTTAAAATACAATGCAGTTATCACATTTCGAAGGCAAAATTAACAGAAATTCTAGCATTAAACACAAGTTCCAGAGAATTGTTGGATCTATGTTAGCTTTGGAAAAAATAAAACTTTACATAAGATATAATTTCAGGTGAGAAATCTGCAAATGTCTTTATGATTAAAGAAACCACATGCCACACAGGCGGTCTAATTTATTTATGGACTGCTTTATTGAGACTTTAACAAATATCAAAGCAACGCAGACACGTAGCGAAATGTGTCAATGATGTACTGAAAAAAGTTTACCAGTTTTTTTGTTATCGATACTTAATGCTTATAAAGAAACAATAAAAGACTAATATTTAGACTTTAAACGAAGTTAAGTCAACTTCCGTATGTCATATACTTCATGGACTAAAAAAAAGCAAAATTTCGTGATTTCCTTTTTTGGAATGCAGTCGGTTTAAACCAATTATACAGTGAAAAAAATGAACATACTGATCATTATGAAGACATTTATAACTTATCGGGATACCGAGTTTATAACGACACTACAGATAACTGTTATTCTGTTATGTAGAACAGATTGGTGAGAAAGCCTCCATCAATTACACTTAAAATTGAAAATATTTCTTATGATTCAGTTTTTGTAAAGATTGCTAAATTGATGAACATTTAAACCAACATTATTTTGAATAGCCAAACCTCTCTAAGGTCTTTTTGCGAACAAGAATTTCAACAACCTCAAAAACCCGTATCGGTATCCTCTACTTCTAACAGCTACATCTAGCGCCGATTGTTTTTTGCAACTTTGCCAACAAATCGATCATATAAGTTTGAATTAACTTTGGAAAGGTTATATTTTCTTTTGTGTGTCCTATGGTATGAACAGCTGAACATAACGTTTCATTTCATGGCACCTGATAAAAAGCTGTATCTTTGTTGAAAGCATCTTTGTGACAAAAAACAGACGTTGTTAAGTCCCACACAAACATTTCAATAATAGAGATATGTTGGGGTTTTTTTTAACATAAATGTGTTTTTTTTTACTTACAATTGGTTTCAACGGTAATCACGCTAACCTTTTTTTCTCATTAATCTACATTGTCTTGAGTCTAAAAAGATAAATGTTTTGAAAACAATAATGCTGTCAAATATTAAATATGTATATATATATAAACTTCGAAAACTTATTCAAATAAAGTTTCATCTGTTATAGTTGATGGTCAGTGGGGTTCCTGGTCGACTGGACCATGTTCTGTCACATGCGGTAATGGTATTCGATATAGAAAGAGAAGTTGTGACAGCCCATCAAAATCTAACAATGGACAAGATTGTATTGGTTCCAACATATTCACCGTAATCTGTACCTTAGGAGCATGTTCAGGTACGTTAACATATAAAGCAAGAAACGCTTATCATGATTTATAAGATTTAAACATTGATTTCCTTCTGTTGTCTCTAAATAATTTTATAGTGATTAAGAGTATAACACAATGTTGACTGCTATACCCCAATTGTTGACATTTTTTCCTATTATGTCTGTTTGTTTTGCTCACACATTGTTGTCAATTTAATGTTGTACCCATGTCTATAAACCTCAGATCCCTTTGGTAGCTTGCTTATGTTTACTTTTTGCTAGGGTTATTTCCATGCAACAGACGAAAACCTGACATTTATGGAGCTATTGAGAATACATACAAAGGTGTTGAAGAACCTAAAAGCCGGCTGAATGTGACATGAAGTATTTTGAAAGTTGATTTGACAAATTTAAAGACCATGTTGAGATTCATTCGTGTATATAATGAAAAAAGTAAAAAAATATCAAAAATACCAAACCCCAAGAAAAATTCAAAACGTCCCTTATCAAATGGCAAAATCAAAAGCTTAAACACATCAAACGAATGGAAAACAACTGTCATATTCCTGACTTGGTACAGGCAATTCCTTATATGGAAATGGTGGATTAAACCTGGTTTTATAGCTAGCTAAACCTCTCACTTGTATGACAATCGTATTGCAGTCCATTATATTGACAACTATGTGAGCAAAACAAACAGACATACTAGGCAAAAATGTCAAATATTGGGGTACAGCAGTCAACATTGTGTTATTATCTTAATCACTATTAAAACAAATAACTATTTAAACAAAGAAAATCAAAATGGCATATAGACACTCCATAGATAAAGTACATAAGCAAAAATGAAAGACAAGAATACAAAAATTACCATAGCATAATAACAAAATGTAGTACGCATACAACTGTGATAACTATCAACCGTAACGTAAATATAAGAACAATAGGTCACCGTAGGGCCTTCAACAATGAGAACTACTCATACCGTATTGTAAGTCCTGGACATGACTAAATATGAAACAAGTAAAACAAGTAAAACAAGTAAAACAAGGAAACCAATGACCTGAGTTATGCATAAAATATAAAAAAAAATATGGTAGACAGCAACCAACGACAACCATTTTATTACAGGCTCCTGACTTGTGACTGGCAAATGAAAATGTGTCGTGGTCAAACATGTTTCTGAGTGCTCAGTCCTCTGCCTAACTTCTGACAGTAGTTGAACATATCCAATTAGAACAAACTGTAAAAATTCAAATGAAAATGGCACGTACTTAATTTGCGAAATAATATACGGATGGTAAATAAATAAAATACTAGTCATTGTGTCAATGAAATTTCTGTACATTGTTATTGGATCTATATATTATTATCACGAATAACGCCAACAGAAGACGTAGTGCTGACTTAAATAATGAATTCATATCATGTAATTTTTGTTTTACTATCAAACTTAATTTATATATAGCTGATCACTTGAATTGAATGTGTAAAACTGTTCAGAATCATGTAAAGAATCAGAAAAGAAACTAGGTAAATGATTTTAAACTTACAATTTTATTTGACGAACGCGGATCTAAAAAATAAACATCACTTTATTAATTTCATGCGTCCGATGCGCTATACTGCTATCATTTTGTAACACATTTATGACTTGAAGCGCTATATTTGTATGCTCATACTATGATTGTATAGTAATATGTTTTCGGTCTATATTATAAGCCGTCGATTGATCCGTTCATCTTCCCCAATAAGGTTAAAAAAAATTGTCAAGGTTTTTCCCCAGAAAGTTGTGGTCAATTTACTTTAAACTTGGTACACAAGTACATATGACGTGCAATATTTGAAATCTAAATTTTATGCCAAATTTAGGGTTTGAATTCGACGTCAACGTTCTTGAATAAAGCAATGTAGTAAAATCGGGACATTGTGTCATATGGAAATTATTGTTTATTTCATTTTGATATGTAAATACTGTACGTTTGATATGTCAACGGACCGCCTCGATGGTCTCGTGGTAGCGTTTTCGCCTCGGGTGCGGAAGGTCATGATCAAACAACAGACTTTAAAATTGGTATTTGCTGCAAATACCAATGTCATATCAAGCACGCGGCATTAAGGAGTAAGAGCAAAGACTGGTCAGCTCGGAGTCAGAATGATATGTCCTGGTTTGGTGACATGTCTGCCTGCCGACTTTTTTGTAAACCAAATTTAGCTAGCGACATATTTTAATAGCCTTAGAACCAGAATAGTTGTATAATCTGTAGTTTTACCGATTGTCAAGCCTGTCATGATTGTGATTTAAAACGTCCAGTAATGCATGCATAGTAGGAGACGATAATCCTCTCGATCCACCTTCAGTTTTTGTAAGTTTCATTAATGTATTAGTATGGTGAACTTATGGATATAAAATGTCTGTTTACTACCTAATACATGTTTTGTAATATTCTTTGAAAATCGAGATTGAAATAAAAATATGTGAATGTTATTTTTTTTTTATTATTCTTTTTATCATGTAGAATCAAAGAAAATATAAGCAAGAAAATGGAAAAGATATTAGAATAGAAAACTGAATAGAAGAATAGATACAAACAACAACTAACGTGTACTACATGTTTGTCTTGTAACTTAGGGAAGATGCAAGACAATGGAATTATTTCTCGAATAAATTCAGAGGGATTTTATGAATAATCTATGTTTTGTCTGAGATTGCTAATTATTTACTATGGGTTATCTTTCCCTTCTTTATTATATCTTATTTGAACAATGTTTTTGGTAGGTCTACATCAAAGTGACTGATAATTTGCATGCTTAAAACAACTGATCTATATTTTACTACATGAAACTTCAACCAATCTGTATGAATATGTATTTTGGAATAACAGATCTAATCTATTTTATCTGGATTTTATTTTTTAATAAATATGTATATCATCTTAGTGTTTTATTTCTTATACATGCCAATACATATTTGTCCCTGATGAAGATAAATATAGATAAGAGCTTCGGATGCAAATACTCTACAAAGTGCCATTTTCATTTTCTAGGACTTAGTCAAGACAGCAGTCAGTGCTTCAGTACTGACATGATTTATAACAAAAATTAAGGTTTCCATCAGGCAATGTTTACCTTTGATGAATTTTGCCATGTTTTCATTTCATCTTTGCTCTTCGAATGCTTCGGTATTTATACATACTTGGCTTTCAAATCTGTGTCTTTGAGAGTTCCTGATGAAGGTGAATCCAGAAAAACGCTCAAAACGAACCAAATTTATAAAGTGTTATTTTTATTTTAAAATCATTTTGGTATAATCCTGTCCTGCAGTTATAAATATACATGTATATATAAAAAAAATATTGTGACTGCTTCAACCGTCACTTTCTTTGACCTTCACAGCGTTCGAATCTTTTTAATCTATAAATGAATAATAACTTGGTTCAATTCAAGCGCCACTGATGAATCATTTGTACACGGAAAGAGTGTGCCGGATGTTGACAGTTTAAAGCATAATATATTGATGACTTTTTGAATAGAAAGCATCATTTATTTGTCAAAAATATTTCACTTATAGACAAAAAAATATATAACAGATATCGGAGGATTAACGATACTGATAAAGTTTCAGAATGATACGAACAAGAGCACGCACTGCAAGCTACTGTGTTAAACCACTATGTTCTTTATGTCTCATCCAGTTTTTGTAATCATTATCAGAGAAAAAAACAACTAGAACATGATAAGAAGTACAATCAACAGAAAAAGTCAATCAAACGTCGAAATCATGGAGATAGTTTGTTTTCGAAATACGGCTTTAAATTGCCGGTCATAAGAATCTTCTTAATCCCCAAATCAAAATGATGAAATGAGTTGGAGATTAGGAAAAGGTTGCAAAATAACGTTTTTATGATAGTGCCAGAGGTGGCAAATGGTGTTGAAAGAAAAGAATAAGAAATTGTTAGAAAGAAACACCCTGCTTTTTTACAAATAACGAGAACTGTTGACGAACATTTCTTTTAACATCAAAATAAAAATTAGAAGAATTGGTATGATTGCCAATGAGATAACTGTCCTCCAGAGTTGTTGAATGCTATTGTGTAGGAGTGTAAAATGCCATTGCGTAGTAGGATAAGTTGCTGAATGCCACACGTCGTGTTTTTCATGTAAGCACAAACTCGGTGATAAGTGTTCGGTTGGTCACATTCGAGGCAGCTACAAAAGGCCCTGACATGACAATATTTTTAACAATTAAAAAAAGAAAATAAATGTTTTTCTTTTGATCCTAAATATGTATCTGTCCCAGTTTAATAAAATTACCACGTAAATTTGACAACGTTATTGTTATCTACAAAAAATTAAAACTACAGAATAAATGTAACCGAAGTCGACAGCGACTGAAAATAGGATCACTGTATGTCTCGCTTCCTCGACAAAATATCGCAGACTCGACAATTTAAATTCATAAACAACGTTATCCATCTCGTTTCCATTTAAAACAAAATGCCATAATAAATTGTAAGGAATCCTTATCCTCTGTATTAATTAATATCTTAATATGTATAATCTTTGTAGGCAACAGTTTGCGAGGGTGAGAGAACCAGCCATGTTCAGACACTGATTTTTATTAGCCCATGCAAGATAGTGTTTTCGGTAGAAAAATATCGATAATTATGAATTTAAAAAAAAACATGCTTACAAAAGGATTGATTGATTGATTGGTGTATAACGCCACTTTCAATACTATTGTGCTATTTCGTGGCGGTCAGTTTGTATTGGTGGAGGAAGCTGGAGTGCATGGAGAGAACCACCGACCTTCGGTAGGAAAACTGACAATCCTAGTCAATTAAGATTAGAGCCGAGTGCACCTGCCCCGTGCGGGATTCGAACTCACAACCTCAGTATTGACTGGCTAGTAATACAGTAGTTCGACTACTTAGACCCAAATCAAAATGATGAAATGAGTTGGAGATTAGGAAAAGGTCGCAAAATAACGTTTTTATGATAGTGCCAGAGGTGGCAAATGGTGTTGAAAGACAAGAATAAGAAATTGTTAGAATGAAACACCCTGCTTTTATACGAATAACGAGAACTGTTGTCGAACATTTCTTTTAACATCAAAATAAAAATTAGAAGAATTGGTATGATTGCCAATGAGATAACTGTCCACCAGAGTTGTTGAATGCTATTGTGTAGGAGGGTAACATGCCATTGCGTAGTAGGATAAGTTGTTGAATGCCATTGTGTAGTAGGGTAAGTTGTTGAATGCCATTTTGTAGTAGGGTAAGTTGTTGAATGCCATTGTGTAGTGGGGAAAGTTGTTGAATGCCATTGTGTAGTGGGGTAAGTTGTTGAACACCATTGTGTAGTAGGGTAAATTTTTCAATGCCATTGTGTAGGAGGGTAAGTTGTTGAACACCATTGTGTAGTAGGGTGAGTTGTTGAATACCATTGTGCAGTAGGGTAAATTGTTCAATGCCATTGTGTAGAAGGACAGGTTGTTGAATGCCATTGTGTAGTAGGGTAAGTTGTTCAATGCCATTGTGTAGTAGGACAGGTTGTTGAATGCCATTGTGAAGAAGGGTAAATTGTTAAATACCACTGTGTAGTAGGGTAATAAATTGTTGAATGCCATTGTGTAGTATGGTAAGTTGTTGAATTACATTATGTAGAAGGGTAAGTTGTTGAATACTATTGTGTACTAGGGTAAATTGTTCCATTGACATTGAGACATAAAGAGATATACAATTTACTAATGTCAGTCGTTGAAGTTTGTATGCGAACGTATAGGTATCTTCAATAGTCACGCTGTTTGGTTGCTGTCTGTTTGTCCTTTTCTCGAACCATTACACTTTTTGTATGAAATTAGCACGGCATACATATAATACGTTCAAAGTGCCTTTTTTAGTTTGTGTACATCAGAAACGCTAGAACTCCAAACAAAAAAATGCCAAGGATGTATACATACCTAAATTGGAGTCATATTCAAAAGAGACCTGTTTTGTAAATCATCCCATTATTGAAGCACCAACTACTGAGCTGATGATACCTTTCGGGACGAATCGTTCACTAACAGCGATTGATTCAGTGCTAGGTAATAATATTAACACTTTATAAAAGCATACCCTGCTCAACGTATGGCACACGTCGTGTTTTTCATGTAAGCACAAACTCGGTGATAAGTATTATTCGGTTGTTCACATTCGAGGCAGCTACAAAAGGCCCTGACATGACAATATTTTTAACAATTAATAAAAGAAAAAAAAATGTTTTTCTTTTGATCCTAAATATGTATCTTTCCCAGTTTAATAAAATTACCACGTAAATTTGACAACGTTATTGTTATCTATAAAAAATTAAAACTACAGAATAAATGTAACCGAAGTCGACAGCGACTGAAAATAGGATCACTGTATGTCTCGCTTCCTCGACAAAATATCGCAGACTCGACAATCAAATGTCATAAACAACGTTATCCATCTCGTTTCCATTTAAAACAAAATGTCATAATAAATTGTAAGGAATCCTTGTCCTCTGTACTAATTAGTATCTTAATAGGTATAATCTTTGTAGGCAACAGTTTGCGAGGGTGAGAGAACCAGCCATGTTCAGACACTGATTTTTATTAGCCCATGCAAGATAGTGTTTTCGGTAGAAAAATATCGATAATTATGAATTTAAAAAAAAAACATGCTTACAAAAGGATTGTTTGATTGATTGGTGTATAACGCCACTTTCAATACTATTGTGCTATTTCGTGGCGGTCAGTTTTTATTGGTGGAGGAAGCTGGAGTGCATTGAGAGAACCACCGACCTTCGGTAGGAAAACTGACAATCCTAGTCAATTAAGGTTGGAGTCGAGTGCACCTACCCCGTGCGGGCTTCAAACTCACAACCTCAGTGATGACTGGCTAGTGATACAGAAGTTCGACTACTTAGACCCAAATCAAAATGATGAAATGAGTTGGAGATTAGGAAAAGGTCGCAAAATAACGTTTTTATGATAGTGCCAGAGGTGGCAAATGGTGTTGAAAGAAAAAAATAAGAAATTGTTAGAATGAAACACCCTGCTTTTTTACAAATAACGAGAACTGTTGTCGAACATTTCTTTTAACATCAAAATAAAAATTAGAAGAATTGATATGATTCCTAATGAGATAACTGTCCACCAGAGTTGTTGAATGCTATTGTGTAGGAGGGAACATGCCATTGCGTAGTAGGATAAGTTGTTGAATGCCATTGTGTAGTAGGGTAAGTTGTTGAATGCCATTTTGTAGTAGGGTAAGTTGTTGAATGCCATTGTGTAGTGGGGTAAGTTGTTGAACACCATTGTGTAGTAGGGTAAATTGTTCAATGCCATTGTGTAGGAGGGTAAGTTGTTGAACACCATTGTGTAGTAGGGTGAGTTGTTGAATACCATTGTGTAGTAGGGTAAATTGTTCAATGCCATTGTGTAGAAGGACAGATTGTTGAATGCCATTGTGTAGTAGGGTAAGTTGTTCAATGCCATTGTGTAGTAGGACAGGCTGTTGAATGCCATTGTGAAGAAGGGT